GGTGTTGAGGAAATTGGTCCCTAAATACTTATGTTTTTCTTTTTCTTTCTATGCCTTAAATTTTTTTTTCTTGCTGGGCCTTGCATACTCAGCTATGTTAGAGAAATACTGCTTCATAGCATCACAAAAATTCTTGTTTCTGGTATCCCCTCATTGTGAACAAAGGAGCTTGTGTAAAGAGGAAGTTCATTTGATGTGTTTGAGCTCATATGGATATTTTCCGTTAAAATAACGACAAATATTAGTCCCCACTAATGACACTCAAAAAAATGACAAGTTTTTTGGGGCAAACTAGCATAGGAAAATGACGTTAGGTGCCCTCCATCTGTACTTCAGACAGCAAATCTAATAGAGCAGTCTCAATTAAAATTTTATATTAGGGCGTGAGCATTTTTTTTGTAACTTAAGACTTTAATTTTTGGCATTTTCCAATAATGTAAGCTTTTGCATCTAACAGATCAGTGATAAGTAAGTTATGTGATATGCCTTTCAGATGATTGTAGATAGATTGAACACATCGACTAAAAATTCCCGTAAGATTAAGAAGTAGCATGGAAATAACATCAAATATTCCTCATACCAATTTTCTTTCTTTCACAAGAATTCCATATGTGTAATGCATGAATTCAAATCTTCTTCGCCTTTTAGTAATTTATGGTGGTTTTAGGGTTGGATGACTTGTCCATCTCCATTCTTTCTTATGTACAACATTTAAATCAATAAAAATATTTTGTTTCTTATCATAAAAAAGAAAAATACTATAGAACGGTGTGTAGTCATATGATATTGATCAATAGTCACTTTAGAGTTTAGAGTTCTTGTGAGATTTTTTATAGAGTTGGTTTAATCTGTCATGTTGAGGCTGGTTCATTATTTAGGTTCACTTGCGCAATTAGCATTTGTAGCTTCATTGATGTATGTCCTGGGAAGTTTGATGTGAACAAGATTGAGAAATGATATTGCATTGCTTGATGGGATTGAGATGCATGATACAGGGATTCTGCTGAGGAGTTAGAAATGGGTGAAGGCTGAACAGAATTAATAGTCTGGAGAAAGGCATGGACAAAATTTCTCTTACAGATGTTGGACCCTTTTACCACTAAAGCTCTATTTATAATAGTGCGGTTAATTTAACAAGAAATAAAAAGAATAAAGCAAAACTTTAGGGAACCAAGAAAATTCTTTAGAGAGATTTAACTCTTTAGACCAGAAAGATACAAATAAGAGATAACATCTGAGGTTCCACCAAATGCAGTTGACAGAAAATAAGTCCCAATCTGTGCTTGTGCTCTCAATTTGTTCAATTGAGTTCCTTGTTTAGAGGAAGAACCATTCCTTTTCAAGCACGGGTGGCTTTGGATAAATTGATGTTTAAAGTGGTTTGAAAGATGTGATCCTTTTCAACACGAAGAATGCTTCTCTTGTTTCTGTAGAAATTATAAATTTTACCTAAAAGGGGAAATTTAAAGAGTAAAATTCAAGGATATATTGGAGGACAAAACATTCTACCAATTATAGAATTTGTCTAACACGTGAACTTGCTGATTGGCCTCAGCGGCGGAGGCAGGGCGGGGCAATTGCCCCCACTGAAATTCTAAAAATTTGTAGGGTTAATTTAAAATTATAATAAAAATTAATTTTTTTAATAACTTGCCCCCATTTATTTTTTTTTAATGCACTAAAAATTTAGACTCAAGGTTCGCTCATACAAACTTAATCTCACAATTTTTTATTTAATCTCTATTGTCTTTATTCCTTCTACAATGACTCACTTAAGTTACTGAATCAATCCTTCTCCGAATTCGATTACTAAGACATAGATATATATTTTTAATTAATTATCTAAGTTCAAATATACTACAACATTTTCAAAGATTTTAGATTTGGGAGCATAAAAAAATTTGATCTAATTATAATTCAATTCAATTCATTTCGATTCGATTCGATTCAATTTGATATGCATACACAAATATGTATATGAAAACATTTGATAAAACTAAACAATTAAATTGAATTAAAATTACAATGCGACACACACACACACAGATATATATATATATATATATATATATATATATATAAGATTAGATTTTTGATAAAATTCATAATATTTAATAGTTTCGAATATGGATTAAAAAAATGAAATCAATTGAATAATTAGATTAGATTCAAAATAGAGTTTTCAAGATAAATTTTCATTCGAATGTGTCAAAATTTTATCATTGACAAGCACACTGACAAAATGATATGTCAAAATAGCATTCTCTATTAAAACTGTCTTTATTCTAATGCTTTAAAAAAAATTATATTAGTTTTTCATAGTCGGCTATCATTTTTTCACATGTATTTATATGTGAAATCTTTGAAAGTAAAAAAAATAATATAAAGAATTATGTTATAAAAGGTGTTAGATTAGGAATTTTTTCTTATAGAGAATGAAATTTTAAGATAATAAATATATTCATTAGATGCAACAAACTTTGATAATTGTTAAGTAATCATTCTCTTTAACTTGATGGTTGTCTCTGGTTCTCTTTAATTTGATGGTTGCCCCCACTAAAAAAAAATTCTGGGTCCGCCCCTGATTGGCCTGAAGGGTTGACATTTTGAACTGGCAATTTTTTTGGCAGACTAATGGCATTGCTGCCTGCATATAGTTGCACCTATTCTCTTTATTGGTGGGCATTACAGGCCAAAATTATAACTAGCTTCATACACCCCTTACCTTTTTTAGGGTGTGGATGTGATCACGTGAATGTAGTTACTTTATACATGTTCTTCGTGAGGGGATTGCTCCTACACATTTGTTTCTTGTACTAATATTTCTTGTAATGGGACTTGCAGCTTCAATTTGTCCGGCATGTATCCATCAACTATAATATGGTGAAGACGCGATTGCAAAAACAGGGTCCTGCTTTTGAAGAACCCAGGATGTAAGTTATTTCCCTGATGATCTATTGTATGCACTAATTCTTTTTTCACAGAAAAGAAACACTTGTTGGTTATCAGCAATACATATTAGCACTGTCTTCCAACTTGTCTATTTGACTGATTCTTTTGGAATGACAAGAACCACTGTTCCCGCCTTCTAGTTCATTCGGACTCTGAACAATATACAACAAAATCAGATCGTGGGACACTCCTATCATCCCAATTAAAAACACAGACACTGAAGAATACTACTCTGATTTTACAAACAGTCATGCTTCTCCAAGGGAGAAGTCACCACAACAATCTTATGGTTCAAGAGGGAAATAACAGCCTATTGGGAGAAGCAAAATATGAATTAAGCAGAAGTTTCTTACTTTTTTTTACCCGTCTATTTAGTGTGTGACTTTTAACTGGAATCTCTCTCTCTCTCTCTCTCACACACAAGCATAAAGATTATAGGATCATAAATACTCCTACTGTCCCACAAACTAGGGTCGCACAACCCAAAACGGGGTGGGTTCACGATCCAGATCGCTTATATTCCCAATCCCAAATTGTAACTCAAACCCCAAAATATATACTAGGTAATTATGTGTATATTAATGTATAATTATATATAATCTCATGTAATAGAGAAAGCGATCCTATAAAATGAACCACGACCCGAAATAGTGTACCAATTAAACGTACCCCATCCTACCGCGTATCGAACGATGTACGGTATTACTTATCCGTACCTATATTACATATCAAATCAACCTACGATCTAAGTAACATTGCATGTGCCCCTCTTGGACTCCTGGCCTGGGGGTTTAGGATTTCGCACCAAAACTACCAAGGCAGATGGATGGTTGGTTGGCATCTCTAGTTTCAGTTAGTCATCATCTTTTTTGGGCAGATAACCTCAGCCTCACCAGCGTTTAACTTTTGGATAAAATATGTTTCAAACCTTTTTTTTTGTTTGTTTCTTCATATTTTATAGCTAAAAGGAACATTGGTTCTGTTTGGTGGGATTTCTTGCTTCATTCTTGTCTGTGGCAAGGACCCCTTTTGCTAAGTAGTCCCACATTGTGTCAAACCACTTCAGCCCCTCAGTTGAGTCTATGTCATCTTCTGATATGAATACTTCCTCCTCTGGCAGTTCTTCAGATAATTCAAGCCAGCGGCTAGAAGCATCGAACACAGTTTACATTGAGTTTAGATAGATCTTCAAGGTTCTTGGTTCATGTCAGTAGTCTGAAAAACTGAGCATGTGCTTTGCATAATTTACTCTCTTTAAACATATTGAAACAATTAATTATGATTGTGAAATCTGGACTAACTTCATGATGGAAAGGTCATCGTGCAGATCAGATGATCAAGAGAGTGAAGAGAATGACAAGGAATATGATAACCATTATCAAGATGATGATGAGGATAAGGGTATAACCACACATTGTCAATATAAGTTGGCTCACTTGTTGAGAGGGTGGTTCTCATACCGCAGAATGGCCAGCTCAGAGACGAGATTTGAACAGAAGAGTATTCCATCAAGAGTCACCTATGGTTTCTTAGGAAGTTTTAAAAATGTTGTACGGCTTTATAGCAATAAATATGATTCTCAAAGGGAGACTTGGAAAGCAGTGTAATGTTCGGGCATATGCACTTCCGGAAAGGACTGCTGAACCAATTTGGGGATTCTGACTTCAATCAGCATTTGAATCTCATCGAAGCTCCAAATCCATAATGTTCCCATGCTTTCTATCAACCATGAAAGCTGTTTCCCTGGTACACTTTTGATCACATATCTGAATTTTGTGATTCAAGTTGTCCAAATGGTTGGCCATTGTGGTTCTTCAATGACAAACAGTTCGGAACAAGGCAATTTGATCTGATATTCAGTGGCTCTTTGCAGGATAATTGCATCTTGGGTGATAATTTTTCATTCTGTGTCACATGCTGATAGGCATTTCTTACGTTGGGGCGAATTTAGGTAGAGATTTGATTAAATTTAGCCGATTCTAATACTGTATAAGGAAGTGTATTATTAGCCTGATGTGGGGTGTGTGGGATGATTTGAATCAAGCCCATGGCCTTGCTAGGCAAGCACTGAGGTTAAGCAGACTTGGTCTTTGATGTACTTACTTGCTTTCTTGGAATGAATCTTTACAATTCACTAGTTTTTTTTTTATCTTTTTTTTATCAGAGTTCATACATCAAATGCAGAGAAATTATGTTATAACTTGTGATTGATTTTATTAGTCATCTCTGTTAGATTGGGACGCTAGTCATACAAAAAGTATAGGAAATCATAATACGCGAAATTCAATCTTGCCCTAATAACAGAACAACACATCAAACTCATTATCTTATGTCGGTAGGTTCCTTTATCTAGTGGTAAATGTTAATATTGATAAAGGGAAAAAAGAGAGAGAGAGAGAGGTCAAGAATAATGTTTAGAATAATTCATTCTGTAATACAACCTTAACACAAATATACAATGTAGGCCTCTATATATTAGGGCAACAAAATAATGTAAACTACCTAAACTACCTATAATATAAATACTCTGACATTCTCCCTCAAACTCATGATGTGGTAGCATCAAACATCAAGAGTTTGCCAAGGAGAAAACGAAAGCGTGCGATAGTGTGGGATTTGGTGAAGAAATCTGCCAACTACACAGTAAAAGTAAGAAATAGGAAAGAGATTGTGCCCAACTAAAGATGATGGCGTACAAAGTGACAATCAATCTTTATATGTTTGGTACGCTCATGAAACACAGAGTTGTGAGTAATCTGGATAGCACTTATGTTATCACAATACATAGGAGTAAGAGTAGTCAAGGAAATGTCAAGATCAGCAAGCAACCAATGCAACCAAACTATCTCTGCTGTGGTAGATGTCATAGCACGATACTCAACTTCAGCAGAAGAGTGAGCTACAACAGTTTGTTTCTTTCTTTTCCAGAAAATAAGAGAATCACCAAGAAAGAGACAAAAATCAGTGATGGATTTACGATCCATAGAGTCACTAGCCCAGTCTGCATCAGAGTAAGCAAGGAGCTCCAGAGATGAAGAAGAAGAAAATAATAAATTCTGATGTAACGTACCCCGTAGATATTGAAGAATCCGAAGAACAGCAGACCAGTGAAGTGTGGTAGGAGCAGCAACAAACTGACTAAGCACATGAACCGCATAAGTAATATCTGGACGAGTAATAGTAAGATATATCAAACTCCCAACAATAGTATGATATAAGGTAGGATCTGGCAGCAGAAAACCATCAGAAGAAGTATAACGAACATTGCGCTCCAAGGGTGTGTCAACCGGTCGAGTATCCGATAAGCAAGCTCGCTGAATAACATCTAAGACATATTTGGATTGAGAAAGAAGATAACCCTTAGGAGAGGAAGCAACCTCAATCCCTAAGAAATATCGAAATGGACCTAAATCTTTCATCTCAAAATAATCATGTAACTGAGTTTTCAACAACTGAATTCCAGTAATGTCATCACCTATAATAATCATGTCATCCACATAAAGTAATAGAAGAATGAAACCAGAAGAAGTGGATCGAAGGAAGAAAGCAGAATCATGATCACTAGCACAAAATCCTAAGTTACAAATAACTAAAGAAAATTTTAAAAACCCTACCCTCGGGGCCTGTTTAAGGCCATATAAAGCCTTGTGAAGTTTGCACACATGACTAGGAGTACAAGGCAACCTAGGAGGAGGAGTCATATAGACTTCTTCAGATAAATCACCATGAAGAAAAGCATTTTTCACATCCATCTGAGATAGATTCCACTGACGAACAGCTGCCACAGCTATGAATCGTGGCCATCTTAGCCACTGGAGCAAAGGTCTCATCGTAGTCAAGCCCATACTCTTAAGAAAATCTCTTTGCCATTAATCTAGCCTTATACTTTTCCACATAACCATCAGATTGAGTTTTGATTTTATAAACTCACTTACAACCAATGGGGCGTTTACCAGGAGGTAAAGGCACCAACTCCCAAGCACGAGTCTTATGTTGCGCAGAAAGCTCCTCATCCATAGCCTGTGCCAAAGAGGATCAAGTATAGCCTCCTTATAAGAGGTTGGTTCAGACAGAGAATGTATAAAAGTTAGGAAAGAACAAAAATCAGAAGAATAACAAGAGTTGGACCAACCAAACCTATCAAGACACTTTCGAGTGCGCTGAGAGTAACGGGGAGTGTGATCCACGATGTCAGAAATTGATTGGGAGCCAAGAGGTGTAGAAAAAGGCACAACATCTATGGAGGAAACAGTGGGAGTCCAGCGAACATAAGTATCCACAATCGGGAGACGGGTAACAGACAAATCAGACAAAGAGGAAGAAGAAGAAAAAATGGGAAAATCAGTCACAGTCATATCGCCAACATAGGAAGCAGGAGAAACATTAGAGGGAAAGGGATCAAGATAGAGAAGATCAGATTTATGAAGAGATGAAAAACTAGATGGAATAGAGAAAAAAGGAATATACTCCATAAAAACAACATAGCGAGAAACATAGAATTTTTGTGTATTAGGATCATAACACCGAAATCCTTTTTGTCCCTCACCATAGCCAAGAAAAACATATAAGGCTGACCGAGCCGAGAGTTTGGTACGATTAACACTAGGTAGCAGAACAAAACATGTACATCTAGACACACGTAAGGAGAAATAGTCAGGTGTCTTACCACATAATTTTTCAAAGGGTGAGACACCAGAATTAAAGATTGTAAGAATACAATTAATCAAATGAATTGTTGTAAACACTGCTTCTCCCCAAAAAGAGCTAAGGACACTAGATGACAACAACAGAGAACAAGTTGTCTTAACAATGTGACAATGTTTCCGTTCAGCCACCCCATTCTAAGCAGGTGTGTCAGTACAAGAAGACTGAAAAATAGAACCATCAGATTTCAATAAATCACGAAAGGCACTAAAAGAATATTCTCCACCTTGATCACAACGAAAACATTTGATGATAGAAGAATATTAAATGCGCACCATAGCATGAAAGGTAGTGAAAATTGAAAAAAACTCAGACTTACGTGACATTAGATACACCCAACAATATCTGGTATAATCATCAATAAATGAGACATAATATCTAGACCCCCCCCTCTTAGTAGCAACAGGAGCTGGCCCCCAAATATTAGAATGTATAAGATCAAATGGTGCAAGAGAACGAGAATTACTTTTATTGAAAGGTAATGCAGCAAATTTTGCCAACTTACAACCACTACAATCTGAAATATCATGGCACTCTAAATTACCCAAACTACCAGTAGAAGCTAAAAATTTTAAATGAGAATGAGAAACATGACCTAAACGAGAATGTCATAAATAAAAACTAGATGAATTTGGACTCAATTGAAAAAAAGATAAATCAACAGTAGATACAACAACTTTAGGGACATGAAGTTTGTCCAAAACATATAGCCCTCCATTTCTATGGCCTGTCTCAATCAGCTTCTTGGATCGTGAATCCTGCACAACACAACCAGTAGAAGAAAAGTGAACTAAGAATCCCGAATCAAACAACTGACTAACAGATATTAAATTTAAAGTAAGTTGAGGAATATAGTAGACATCAGAAAGTGTAAGTTGGGAAAATATGATAATTTCAACACCAGCCAAAGACATTTGGGTGCCATTGGCTGTAAGGACAGATATAGAAGGAGGGGAAACAATAGAAACAAATAAGGAAGAATTGGTAGTTATATGATGAATGGCTCCTGAGTCAAAAATTCAGGTAGTTCGAGATATACCTGAAGGACCTGTAGTAAATGAACCTGTCAAAGGAGAAAATGATAGGGCACTTGGTTGATGAAAGAAAAGAAGCTTCTACAACTAATCAACTATTATAGTCATGCTGGGAGCTGATGAAAGTGTCTCATCCACTGGTGAAGCAGCTGCAGCTGTATGACGATCTTTGGGCTTAAATGGCTGTTGTAAGGCCCCCTTGACATTCCTATTCATCGATTTAGGACATTGAGCCTTCCAGTGACCCTTCTCATGACAAAAACTACACTCATCTAAAATAGCTTGACCCCGATATTTAGTCTGTGAGTGAGAAGTCCCTCTGGATGGTACTACCAACACAGTCTGATTAGGCAATGAAAGAAGACCTTTTCCAGAAATAGTCTTAAGACGGATTTCTTCAGCTAGAAACTCACTCACTACTGCATCAACTGTGGAAAGTGAGAGACGATGGAGAATAGAACCACAAAGGCCCTCAAAGTCATCTCTAAGGGCCATCAAAAATTTTACCAACCGCTGCTCCTCCCTAAAAGTACGATATACCATATGAGTACTCAATTCAGCAGGCTCAGCAAGTGCTAACTGATCCCAAAATCTAGTCATAATTGAGTAGAACTCCTGTATGGTCTTATCACCCTGACGTGCAGCTCGAATTTCATGTTCAAGCTGATATCTCTTTGTAAAATTGGACTAAACAAACAATGTAGCTAAATAATCTCAAATCTCTTTGGTTGTGTTAAACTTAGCCAAATGCATACCAATGGTCTGATCAACTGAGTTGTTAATCCAAGTGATGATTTTAGCATTGTTGACTTCCCAGGTATTCTTTAAATCAGCATATTTCTCTTCCTTCGAATCTGTTGGAGCTTGCA